CCTATTAAGGAAGAAACCTGTGAGGACAGAGCGAGAAGACTGAAACTCGAGATATGTGATAAAAACTCGAAATGGCTAGATTTACTGGGCTAGTAGTACAATTGTACAAATCGGGCTTGTATACCAGAAATTGATAAAAAATATCAAACACTAAAATTGGAAGTATTACGGACCACAAGCCGCAATTAGGTCTAGACCCTAGAGCCTTATAACCTAAAAATATCAGAGCACCAAAACACTATAGCTCAAACTATAGAAGAGAAGTAATACGAAATCCACAATCTGGAAGTTATGAGGTAACCTATAATACAATATAGCGAGCCTGTACTAACACACGGGAGTATCTACCTATAAGATAACAGGAATTAGCAGCATACTAACTAAACTAGGCATTAATAATAAGGCTTAACCTGGGCCAGTATGAGTTCCTCTTCATGATACTACCTGGGCAGACTAGCTGAAGATAACTAAGAATAGAAGTAGCCCTTGAGGCTACGAGGCTATATTCTAGAAGAGACTATCAAATTTGAGAGCTTAGGTATAAGTAGTATGAGAGATGCGGGGAATGACATCATAGGGAAGTGTACCAAAATAGGACTTGTGAAGGGTGGTAAAATACCAGGTGAGTGCGTCAATAATAATAGCCACTCTGGTAGGTTTGGATCGCAGATAATTGGATCGGTGGCCGGTAGTGGATGGGGACACCTATCGCGCAAGTAATGGTTTTGGCCAGAGTGTAGGTTACCAATAGGATCTGGGTCTGAGCTTGGTATACTTGATATATGTAATATCGAAAATGTGATGATACATGTAAAGTATTATTAATAAATAAAGTCATAGGCAAGATCCCACCTTAACACCAAAAAAAAAACAAAAAATTAAAAAAAATTTTAATAAAATTACAAGTAGTAATCTATTATTTTTAGTTATTATTAGTCGTTATGTAATTTTATTATATAATTAATATATACAAATTAATAACTTATTATAATAAAATATTTATCTATTTATAATAGATACAGAAAAGCAAACAGCTAGTAATCAAGGTAGAAAACAAAAATTACCAGTTTTTTAATATAATGATAAGAAGTATATCTGCTATACCTCAAAAGTATTAATATATAATCTATTTCTTATAGTTTTTATTTTTTTTTACAGATATTGAAGTAAGTGAAGAAAATTTTAGTGAAGTTATAAGTAGTAATTATTATAGTTGTTATCAATTGTTGTATAGTTTTGTTGTATATTAATACAAGTTAATATTATATTATAATAAAATATTTGTCTATTTCTAATAGATACAGAAAGCCAATTAACTAATAAACGTAGCAGAAAAAAAATTACTGACTTCTCAATATAATAGTAAGAATTATATTTCAAAAATATTTTATTTAACCTAGTTCTTAATTTCTTATATTTTTTTATATTTTTTTATAGACATTGGAGAAAATGAAGAACATTCTTGTAAAATCACAAGTAACAACTAATTATTTTTATTTATTAATAGTTGTTAGTTTTATTATATTATTAATACAAACCAATAGGCAGATATTTGATATCAAATCTAATTTTCAAAACTCTTTCCGATGATCATCTAATCAACAAAAAACAAGAAACCGAACTACGGTCAGCGCTATAGAAGA